GAGTTTAGGGCTGCTGTACATAGGGTCGCTATGAGTCGCAAGCGACTCGACTGCACATAACAACAACAACAGCAGCCTTGGATCCACAAGATCCAGTTGCTGTCCTCAGGGGGCCTGGGCTGGAGGAGACAGGATGCCACTGAGGTAGCAAACGTGGCTTGGGGTCACTTCAGACCTGCTTTGCCTAGAACTAGCCAGAGGCTCAATCTTCACATAAATAGGGTTCCTCACTTCAGATTTAGAAGGATCTGGAGAAAAAGCCCCTTAGAAAATGAAATTCTGTCCTTTCTTACTTTCTGCTTGGAACCATGGAGGCTGCCATGGAGAAGAAAAAGAAGGTTCCTGCAGTGCCAGAAACCCTTAAGAAAAAGCGAAGGAATTTCGCAGAATTAAGGGTCAAGCGCCTTAGAAAGAAGTTTGCCCAAAAAATGCTTCAAAAGGCAAGAAGGAAGCTTATCTATGAAAAAGCTAAGCACTATCACAAAGAATACAGGCAGATGTACAGAACTGAGATTCGGATGGCAAGGAAAGCTGGCAACTTCTATGTACCCGCAGAACCCAAGCTGGCATTTGTCAGCAGGATCAGAGGTATCAATGGTGTGAGCCCAAAGGTTCGTAAGGTGTTACATACAGCTCCTTCGCCTTCGCCAGATCTTCAATGGCACCTTTGTTAAACTCAACAAAGCTTCAATTAACATGTTGAGGATTGTGGAACCATATATTGCATGGGGATATCCAAACCTGAAGTCTGTCAATGAACTGATTTATAAGTGTGGTTATGGCAAAATTGATAAGAAGCGAATTGCTCTGAGAGACAACACTTTGATTGCACGATCTCTTGGTAAATATGGTATCATCTGCATGGAGGATCTGATTCATGAGATCTATACTGTTGGCAAACATTTCAAGGAAGCAAACAACTTCTTGTGGCCATTCAAATTATCTTCTCCACGAGGTGGAATGAAGAAAAAGACCACTCATTTTGTAGAAGGTGGAGATGCTGGCAACCGGGAAGACCAGACCAACAGACTTATCAGAAGAATGAACTAAGGTATGAACCATGATTCTTTTTTGTAATCTGGTCAGTTAATAAAACAGTGACTGCTTTCAAATTGAAAAAAAAAAAGAAAATGAAATTCTAACCCAAAATTTTAAAAAGGCTATGATGCACTGTTCTTCTAAATATTGCTATAATGTTTTCACATTCCCTGAGTTACAATGCAGTGGGCTTGAGCATATCAAGGAGATCTGGTGGCTTAGAGGTAAGGAGGTGCACTGCTAACCCAAAGGCAGGTGGTTTGAATCCGCCAGCTGCTCCACGGAGAAAGGTGGACTGTCTCTTCCTGTGCATTTTACTGCCTCTGAGAACCCACTGGAGAGTCAGCTATGGTTCCAACTCAGTGGTAATCAACAACAACAATGAAAACAAGTATGTCACCGCTCGTGAGGATAGCGCAGGGCAGGGCAGGGCAGGGTTCAGATCTGTTGTTCACAGGATCACTATGAGTTTTAGTCTACCTGACGGCACCTAACAACAATAATGATAATTCGCTTCTATGCTTTCAAAGTACATGTGTACAGGCACTCACAATAAGATCCTAGAACTAGGTCCACCTTTGTGAGGTTCCCCAACACTAATTCCTTTACTCTCTGAGTCATGAGAAAGTTATTTAGAAATTTTCAGAACTTCGATACAGAAACATGGATGCATGTCAAGAATGTAAAGAGCCTTTAATTTGCCTTGACTGTTGTAAAAGCTGACATGTTGTTAGGCTGCCATCAAATCGACACTTAACTCATAGCGACCCTGTCCTGCCCTGTCCTGTGAACTCCTCAGGATCTCTGCACACTCAAGTCCACTGCCGCAGGTGCTGTGTCAATCCACCTCACCGAGGGTCATAACCTAGTCAGTCTTTGTGAACTAGCTTTGAGACTTAAGTCTAAACAACCTCCCTAGTCTCCAACGTTGAAAAAGTTTTTGTTGTTTGTTTTTTTTTTTTTTAAATGTATCATTTGGCTCATCTCTAACCTCTAGAAAAGATAGAGCAGACTAGCTTTGGCCTCAGCACAGCCCTTGTCGTGTGGACCCAAGGTGATAAATCCATTTGTAAACACTACTTCTGCTCACTTACCAGGAGAAGGCAGAGGCAAACCCCCAGAACCTGCCTCAGACCGCAGCTAGGAGGTCTCAACTGAGCCCGAGCTGCCTCCCGAGGCAGCTAACCGTCAAGCTAACCTTGTCGTTGTAATAGTCCATTCTGCAGCTCCAGTTCTGGATGGTGCTGTCTCATTTGACTTCCATGCCTTCCTTGCCATGGCTACCTTGCAATCAACTGAGTTCATGCATGACAAACTCAAGTGCCTCTCTATTTTCCAAGCTATGAAACCCTCCAGAACGGTTTCTTCTTCACACACACCCTCACTCCCACCTCTCTTATGTTGAGGGTATAATCACTCCCAGCTTCTCTGTCATGTCTGGGGTCCGGGTCTCAGGGACCCCTCAGTGGGACGGGCCCCGGGGGCCTCGAGGTTGGTAGAAGCCGGCCTCTCATGATCACACAGGCAGCACAGGCCACTGAGTGAGGCTCTCTTTACGTCAGCGCTGGGAACCTCTCGCTCCCCTTGAACTGCTTTCACCTGAGAGTGCGGCAACAACACATTGCCTGACAGGAAGCTGAAGTGCCCGCCCTCAGCAGTAGCTGTGAGATCACAGGTACCTGGGGCATAGCGGTTTAGGGGGGACTGCTGGGAACGAGCTTTGTACTGCTGATGGCAATAGGCATAGAGGTAGCTCAGTGCAGCTTTAAACATGCTCTCAGGCCAGGCCTGGCCCTGGGTTAGCCATGGTCAACAAGAGCCCACACGAGCCTCTACTTCCTCTTCCTAATCAGGTTCCTTAGAAGAAAGGTGAACGGCACCTGGTTCCTCAATCTTTGGCTTCAAACTAGAACATCTCAATGTATCCATCCAGTGAGACATCATCTCTCCGACCCACCTTCTCCATGTGGCCTCCACTCACCCCACATGAGATTGGTTAAGCCCCGATCCTGGCCCCTGTGCAGACCCTGAGTGGTATAAATGGTTACTGAGCTGCAAAGGGAAAGATAGTAGGGTTAAGTCCACCAAGATGCCCCTCAGAAGAAACGCCAGGCAAGCTACTTTTCAAAAACCAGCCACTGAAAACTCTATTTGGTTCAGTCATACTCTGATGCACGTGGGATGTGATGAGTCGTGTGTGTGTGTGTGTGTCTTTGTGTCTTTGCATGGCACCTTGGAAGGTGCACTGATAACCACCTTTGCTCAGGCATGAGGATTTGAGCTCTGGTTTACAAATCCAGTCTTTATGCAATCTTTATCTTCCTCCTGCTGCGAGGTCTGTCTCCCACCTGAAACGTGATCTGTTGGCCTGTTGGCTGCACAAAGCTCCTCCCAGCCTTGCCCTCTTTATCTCTTCTACGTGGGTATTTTAACAGCTTCCCTACTTTGTTTAAGTGATAGAGGCTGAGGACAGACAGGGCAGGTGAAGAGGGACCAGCTTGAGCTTGGAAAAATGTCTAACATACAGGAGGGAGTGTGCACAGGGAGCAAGGCTGAGACCCCAAAGGACCCAGCCAGAGCTACAGCAGATGCTGATGGCACCCCCGCCATCTAGGGGAGACTCTGGGGCAGATTTTGCAAATTAGGTTAACATAACAAAGTGCACATATGGCAAAGTATGACAGAGACTGCCAGTATAGGCATTTATTGGCTGATGAAATGGCCTTTGTTTCATAGATATGTAATCTCTTTGCTGTATCCAATCAAGGCAGAAAGCAAAACCCTCTGATCTAACAGGCTTGTGCAGGATCAGAAATGGCAGCCAGAAACTTATGACGAGGCAGCTTGACACCGTAGTAAGGAGCAAACCCAGCCCCAGCTCACAGTCCCTCCGAGGCCCAGGAAGAGAAACCGCGAGTTGCTGGGGGACAGCCCACTGTGGCAAGAAGACAGCAGCACCTGCCAGGCTGGTGGGGAGACATGAATGACATCCAACAGCCAACAGCAGGAGTAGTGGAGGACAGGGCAGGGAAGAACTCATCATCCCAGGGGCAGCGCTGGTCAGGGGCGCCCTTGCCCCTCAGGGCTCCATGAGATGTGATGGGTGAGGGCCTTTGAAGGCCCCAAATGGACTTTAGCGGACTGGGAACACATGGTGCAATACCCTATGTGTATGATCTCATGAGCACCAATTGGTCCCCATCTAGGGTATAGCTCCCCAAATATTCACACTCTGTCTGAGGAGAGAAAGGTGCTAGGCCATTTCATAAGTACTTCTCTGAATGCTCTTCTGGCTCTTCCAATGAGATTTCACCACCCTCATTTTAGACTATAGAGAGCTGAGGCTCAGAGAGGGTAAGTAAGGGGAGCTCTGGTGGCCTAGTGGCAAGAAGCTGCACTGCAATCCCAGAGGAACACGGTTCGAATCCACCAGATGCTCTGCCGGAGAAGGAGGCGCAATATCCTCCTGTACCAGTCAGATCTGATTTGACGGTACACGCACACAAAATAATAAAAAATAAAAAAATTTAAAAAAAAGAGAGGGTAAGTAACCTGTGTGCTGGGGCACACAGCTGACCAGGAGAGGTGGTGGCATACAGACCACAGCCACTGTCTAACCCTAGGAATTTTACATTGCCTCTCAAGCTCATTGCCAGTGAGTCAGAACAGACTCACAGCTGATCCCCTAGTGGGCTTTCAGAAGCTATAAACTGCCTGGGAGGAGACTGTGCAACTTCCTCCCACAGAGCAGCTGGTGGATTCAAACCACCCACCTTTGAGCTGGCAGGGAAACTCCCTACTCAGCAGGTCTCCACAGCCCTCACTACTTCTCAGAAAGGCCTGTTTTCACCTCATCTGTCTTACAGAGGGAATGAATTCTGGTGGCCTAGTCTACGAGGAGGGGGGCGAGTTCCGGTGGCCTAGTGGTAAGAAGCTGCGCTCCAAGACTGAAGGCATGCAGTTCAAATCTCCCTCCATGTGATTAACTGCCCCTGGAGCGTCAGCCAAGTGTCGATTCTGACTTCACGGTCCACAACAACAACAAGTCTACTGGGAATGGAGTTCTGGGGGCCGAGGGGTAAGAAGTGATACTGCAATCCCAAGGGCACACAGTTTACAATCCCGAAAGTACACAGGATAAAGATAAGTGATCTCCTCTGGTGCAATTTACTAACTCTGCAAACCCGATGGACGAGCAGCTAGGAGTTGGAGCTGACTTGATGACACAGAACAACAACAGTCTATAAGGTTGCACTGCACTCGGAGGCTGTGTGTGGTGCGATGGGGTGACTGTACCAAATGTATTCCCCAGCCATCAGCTCTGACTTTCACCACATGGCGGTGTGGGAACCTGATACAGGGTGTGTACAAACGACTCATGATGACATTAGTCGGTTTTCCCATCCCAGCAGGTGTAGCAACAGAAGTTGGGAATCTCACAACCAACAAGAAAGAGAATACAGTGAGTGCGGTGAGTGTCCTTCAGGGCCAGAGGCCTGTGCCAGTCAGACTGGAAGAGAAGCCTCAGCAGAGAGCCAGAGACTGACACAAGACAGAGCTGACTGCTGCCCCCCAGATTCAGAGCTAGGGGCTTGCTGGAGGACCTGGTGGAGGAAACGCCGTCAGTGGCAGAAATAAGACAGCTTTGTAACACTGACCTAAACTGTGGTCCTGACGGTCGAAGAGCCTGGCATGCTTGAGAAGCTGTCCTGTTGCCAAAGTTAACAGTAACCAGTTAATTTCACTAATAAATCCCATAACCATGAGTATGGACCTATAAGAGCTGTGTGGCCATTGCAATGGATTTCAGACCCAACAATGGAGAGTTCGGGGTTGGTCAGAGCCCTGGTTTGGTGCTCAAGTTAAAAGAAGTAGGTGCAGGCATGTGGGGGGATGTCTGACCTCATAGGAACTGGTTTTGTGTTGTGGTTGTTGCTGACGGGGACTGTTCTGCTTTGTGAAGTTAACAGAGGTCAGATGTGGACATCCCCACACCACATCCACTCTTTCTTCTAAGAAAGAAGACAGCTCCTCTGAGGTGCTCTGGGGGTTCATATCCACCAGCGACTTCTCAGAGTAAAGATACGGAATCTTCTCCCATGTGATTTAAAGATTCTGAACAACCACCCACGTCCACCCCCAAGTCAAGAGTTTCCAGTTTGTTTGTTTGTTTGTATTTTGTCTTACAAGGTTGTCCTTGGTCAGAACCAACTCCATAGCAGTGGGGTGAGAAGTCACTGAGTGGTGTTGAGTGGACATGTTCAGCTGCTGACTGAAAGTCTAGAGGTTTGAATCCACCACCCAGAGGCACAGAGAGGCCTGGCAATCTAGTTCCAACAACAACCACCACTGGAAACTCTATGGAGCACAGTTCTACCCTGGCACGTGTGTGGCTGCCGTAAGGTGGAACGACTTGATGGCAAATGTTGATTTTTTAAAAGGAGAACAGAAGATAAAGGAGAGGCGGAGGAGCTCATAGCAGCGGCCCCTCTGGAGCTTGCTGAGGGCTGCAGCATGATCCACCAGTGAAATCTCCCATGAGGATGGGCATTTCTCTCAGCACCACCCATCCAAGGCCTGGAATGGGGAAATGCTTGTCCTCTCTCCCAGATACGCACATCTCCTCTGTCAGCAAACTGAGTCAAAGCTGCCGTCAAGGCCCAGCCTGACTCAAACCACTTCTCACCACCTCCACCGCCACCCCAGCCCAACCTGTCTCTCTGCTGCACCACAGCTTTAAAGCAGGTCTCCCTGATTCCACCTCTGCCCACCGACAGTTTATTTCCAACACAGCAGCCAATGAAATGGGCTGCTGGAAACGTTACCCAGAGTCCACCAGCCCTCTATTCCCACCCCACTCAGCATCACAGTTCAAGGCTCCCCACCAGTCTGTACGTCACGAGTTCAGCTCCCCCTGCCCCAGCCCACTGTCCAGTCCAAGCCCACCTCCTGGCAAGTCTTTGGATGGCCACTCTCATCTCTGCCCCTCAGGGCTTCACACTACTGCCCGCTCCACCTACAATGTTCTTTCCCCACATACTCACATGGCTCCAGCATGCTATCCTTTACATACACACACAGACATAGAAGACATTTAATATCTAAAAATCTGCATGTTTTATGCGAATAGAGAGTGGTGCTCGATAAATATTTACTGAAACAATGAGTGACAGAAAAGGTTAAAGAATGCACGTGGTACTCTGAAAATCCAACAGGAAACAGATTTTTCTACAAGCTCGGTAACTTTGACCAAGTATATCAGACGCTCAATGCCAGAGGCAGTTTCTGTGAATGTGACCTTCAGTCTGTGATCTTTCTGCCTCCTCCTGTCCCTTCCCCAGCAGACCTGTCCTCCTTTCACATTCATACAGGAAATGCCTTCAGAGTCCTGTGCTGGGAAGGATTCTGGGCAGCTCTGCCCTGAAAGGCTTGTTTCCCTCAGGACTGACCACAGCTCCAGGAAGGACAGCACACCGTGAAGAAAGACAGTCCCAGGTCCCCACCAACTCGGTCAGTGGTAGAATAAGATCAGCAGGCAGCCAGTGGGCAGGACCCACTGAACACAGCCCTTTAGCACTGGCCCTGGAACACACACCCCCCTCATGCCCAAACATGCCAATAGCTGGAGGAAGGGGACCATTTAAACACATCAACCACATCAAAGAGCACGGGAGGTGGCAAGCACACACGCTTTCCCTCTGACTTTCTTCTACAAAGAAGGCCTTCAAAATTCAGATTTCAAGGTAACATCAGACATCAGGGGGGCAAGTGAGTGCCAGCCTGCCAGCTCTGTGCACGCTGTTAAGCCATCTTCTCAGGGCTGCACTGGCATGGGGCCCTGGACGTCCAGCTCTCAAGGGGCCCTTGGTTCCTCAGAAAGAGCCGCTAAGGGGAGAATTCTAGTCCTGTGTCTGAGAGGCTCTCTGAATCTAGAGCTCCGGGGATAAAATATGGACCAGAAACAGCTTTTGACCACAAGCTTCTGGCATGGACTGTGGTCCACTAAGGCCCAGGGCTTTGAAACCCAGAAAGGGGAGTGAGGTATACCTGAGTCCGGTCGGCCATTCCCAGAGGCCACACAGAAACCAAAAGTGCCCTCCGGAGAGCGTTGTAGCTGCAGCTGGCTGGTGCCGTCTGGGTACACCTCCACCACACGTCCCACGGTGCGGGCCAGGCTGGGAGCGCTTACATCTTCCACGCTGAGGGCACGTCGGGGTGGGGTCTGGGCTGGCCTGGAAGGAAACAATACCTTTCCATTTCAGAGTCAAGCACGGGAGGCTGGGGCTACTGACCTCTATCAGCAAAAAGAGCCAAGATAAGCAGATCCCCACAGTTTTCCTCATGGCTATTGATGAAGAAAGTCACTCAAGCGCAAAGGTTTTTGTTTTAAAAGGTCAGGTTTACTGTTCCAATGAAGGCTGGTAAAACCCTTCAGAGAGGACCCTTAGTCATCCTTTGAAACTGGCACAAAACCTATTTCTATGTCCCAACTTTCATACACATAACAGGCAGGCCTATGAGAAGATCTTTAATACCAAGGACACACTCCTTAGAAAGACCAACCACGCAAGGTCAAAAGAGCAGCATTTGCCCAAGGATAACGCCCAGAAGGCAGAAAGAGGTAGAACAGCAGGATTAATGGAAATGAGAATCACAGGGAAGAACTAGGAGGAGTGTGCTCACATGGTGGGTATTGTAATTAATGTCATCAAACAAAATGTAAAAATGGTTGCATGAAAAACCATTTTGCTTTGTAAACTTAGATTAAAATCACAATTTTTTTTTTTTAAAAGAACAGTGGTTTTTAGGCTTCTGGGTACAAAGACCCCTCTGAGAATCTGATGAAATCTATCATGTCCAATTTCTGACAGTCCACCCACCTATGGTTCCTCAGTTCAGAGCAACTATCCTAAAGGTTTCCTTAGAGGTGGGCAGGGTCCCTGGTAAGAGCCTCTCTCAGACAGTCCCTCTTAGAGAGTCTTTAACTGGAGCAGTAGAGTAAGCACTGGGCAGAAAACAGAAAGGTCAGTAGTTTGAATCCACCTGCCATTCCATGGAAGAAAAAAGAGGTGGGTGGCTTCCTTAAAGATTTACAGTGCTGAACCGTACAAGGCAGTTTATCTCTGTCCTGTTGGGTCACTATGAGTCAAAATTGACTCCTCGGCAGTCAAAAGCTCCCTGGACATTACAGTTTCATGATGCCATTGGACATTAGAGGGAGAGTAGAGTTAGACCTGCCCAACTCTGGTCACCCAGAACCCCTTCTCAGGGCTGCAGCGGCACCAGACAGGGCCCTGGAGGCCAGGCTGCAGAGTCCTGGGGTGCTGTCCCTCCACACCTGTGTTCCCATCTCCTGATTTGTTAGGGGATCAGAATCCTTCCTGTAGGCAGGAAATCTTGCTTTCTCTCTTTTTAAAAATTAACACTTTATTGTGCTTTTGATGAAAATTTGCATAGCAAGTTAGGATCCCCTGAAACAATTTCCACACAAACTGTTCAATGACGCATTATTCATATGTCAAGGCCTTGCTTTCTCTGGTGGGGGTGGGGGTGCTGCTGAGCAGGGAGGAGTTAAAACCTACAGTTCACTGGCTCTGAGTTGATCCTCCAAATCACTTGTGGCCACTCTTACCTGCCAGTTGCATTGGGGTCCCCAGGCTCCCCTACCAAGTAGAGGCTGGAACGGTTCCCCTTGGAGCTCAGAAGAGAGTGGAGGTTCTGAAAGGAGGCAGCTTTCCGATGTTGGGGAGACGGTGACACCTAGTGGTGAAGAGCCAATATTGCAGGTGAGAAACCTACTTTTTCCATTTTTTTTTACACAAAGTTTTTATACATTGTTTTTCACACCAGATCTTTCCCGTTTCATGTACTCATCCCTCTCTCCACCCATAAAATTGTGCTACCCTATGATTAAGCCTCCCTGCCCCGATCCTCATACTCATTCTACAATAATGGCTTTATACAGTATTTGTCTTTATGAGACTTAGTTCACTCAGCATAATGTTCTCTAGTCCCTCCCATGTTAGGTAGTAATTTACAAAATCATTGCTCCAGTGTGCTGTGTAGTATTCCATCATGTGAACAGACCATAATTTCTCAATCCATTCCATTGTGGTTGGGCATTTGGGCTGCTTCCATGTTCTACTTTACCATGAACCTACCACATCAGTTGTGGTGGAGTTGATTCGGACTCTTGGTGAACCCATGCGTGTTGGAAGAGAACTGTGCTCCACAGAATTTTCAGTGGCTGACTTTTCAGAAGCGTGTCTGAGATCTTTCTTCTGAGATACATGAGGGTAGATCTGAACCTCCATGACCACGACAGGTTAGGGCCCAGGTCATGGTTACTGCACTACCTAAGGACTTCCCCATGAAACCAATGGTGTTAACTTCGTCAAGTATTCAACATAAATAACTACATGCAGAACGTTAGGCCTGGACAGGAGACCAGATCACATCTCACCAAATGCTCATTGCACCTTGCCTATTCCCTCATCCCACCCACCCATTCTCTAACTCTGCTACCCGAGTATTTCCCCCTCCCCTTCTGCAGTCACTTCTGCCCTCCCTGCCCTCATCTGAACAGTTAGTTACATGGGTCTTGTTCCAAGCCGTGAATTGCAGTCGCACACTGCCCTTGTGTTGGCTCTTCCCTTCCCCTTGACCTTGTATGTTGCCTGTACATGCTATTTCTGCTCTCCTCTGTTCCCCTCCCTCTCCAATTACCCTCCTGTCTTCACATTAGTAGTCTTACACAGTATCTGTCCTTTTGTGACTGAGTTATTCACTGAGCAGACTGTCCTCTAGCTGTCTCCTTGTGACTCTTTGATAATATAAATGCTGTTGTTGTGTACCACTGAGTCAGAACCCACTCACAACTGACCCTACAATGGAGGAGATGCTCAGCTTTCTCCACGGAGGAGCTGATGGATCAAAGCACATACATCTGAACTGGCAGCCTCGCCCTTTACTACTGAACCACCAGAGCTCCTTTATACTAAATATTGCAGCAACAAGCATGGTATGCATGCGCCAGTTTGTTCACAGCTTTTAGTTCTTTGGGATATATACCTAGTCACTGGATCAAATGGTTTTTCTATTCTCAACTTTCTAAGGAAGCACCAAACTGCTTTCCATAGTGGTTTACCGTTTCACATTCCCATCAGCAGTGTATGAGAGTCCAGTCTCTCTATACCTTTGCCAGCTTATGTGTTTGCCATCTTATTGTTGTTGTTTAGTGCTGTCAGGTATACCCACAGTGACCCTGTAACAAACTCGTACCACCCTCACCATCTCTGACACTCAAGCCCATTGCTGCAGTTACTGTATCAACACAACTGGTTGAGGGTCTTCCTTTCTTTTGTCGCTCCTCCACCTTCTCAAGCAAGATGTCCCTCTCCAAGAAATAGCCTCATCCAGCAAAGTGCACAAAGTATGTGGACAACGCTTCACCGTCTTTGCCTCCAAAGAGCATTGCTATTTTTACTGTGGTGAGATGCTAGTTTGTTGTGTTGCTTTGCGTCTAACAGCTAGTGATCTTAAGTATTTCTTCATGTGTCCAGTGGCCATCTGAATGTCTTCTTTGGTGCAGTGTACATTCCTGTCCACTACCCATTTTGTAATTGGATTGTTTGTCATTTTCTTGTTAAAGTTGGCGGAGGGTTCTATAAATTTGAGAGATGAGTCCCTTGTCAGATATGTCATTGTCAAATGGAAAGACTCACATATACTTTGGACGTGTTATCAGCAGAGACTAATCTCTGGAGAAGGGTACCATGCCTTGGTGAAGGAAGACCCTCAATGAAATGGACTGACACTGAGGATTCAAACAGCAATGGGTTCAAACATAGCAATGGCTGTGAGGATGGTGCAGGGGCAGACAGCCTCTCCTTCTGTTGTTCCCAGGCCCATTATGGTCCATAACTGACTTGATGGCACCCAGCAACAACATTCATTACAAATCCATGTCCTGCTCTGAAGGAGAGTTAAGGCATGCTATTCAGGAACTTAAGAAGGGGACTTGACCTTGTATGAACCTTGTTCAAGAAGGTTTCCTCAGAGAAATTATGTTTAATTCAGGTCTGAAGAACAAGTAGAAGTTTCCTAGAGAAGGGTGAGAGGAAGAGAAGGGAAGAGCCTTCCAGACACAAGTTTAAGGGCCTAAGGGAAAAGGCATCGCCCCCTAAAGTGTGCAGGAGGTAGCCAGTGCAGTCAGGATAGAGCGAGCGGGCTGTGAGAACAGGAGGCTGCCGCTCAGAAGGGCAAAGGGAGAACAGAGAGTCCTAGCAAAGCTTTCTGCACCTTCCCAGCAAGAATTTTCCAACATGACACTCTACCAGGCAGCGCTTCACCCCTGAGGTAAGTCATGAAGACTTCTGGGTGACAGATGGCTTTCTTCTTCTGTAAAGATTTCTTCCCACTGCTCAGTCCTCCCTAGACTCACCCCCACCCTTTCTCTGACAGTTTAGATGCCATCTCTGCACACTCGGCATAAACTGCTGATAAATCTCTCCACCTTGCTCACGGTGTTGTCACTGCCCTTGAGCTGTTTACACAGATAGAGGTTCTGATGGCAGGAAATCCAGGCACCAGGGCTAAATACACGATGGAGAGCAGAGTCACTGCACCTGTGATCTCAATGTTTTTGTTTGTCTTTCAATCATTAATTTGAGAAATATTTATTTAGTGCCCTAGTACCTCCATCACCAGCACCACTATGTACAGGGCCCAAGACCACCTGCCTGCTGCCAGTTCTCTTCCCAACTGCAGCCTGAAAGAGAAAAGTTCCAGTGCCCCCACCCACCCACCCTCTCCGGCCCCATTCTGCTCAGTGAAGGGGGGAGAGTAGAGAGGGATGGACAAAACTCAGTACGCAGACTGAATTGCATCCCCCTAAAATAGGTCTTGGAATCCTAACCTCTGTACCTTCAGAGGTAACCCATTTGGGAATAGACTTTTCTTTGTTATGTTAACAAGGACACATCACTTCTGAGTTATAAATATCTCAGGATAGACCTGAATATAAGCACAAATCAGGGAAGACAGGTGCCTCTGAAGGCTGCTGGGAAGCTGAATAAAGAGCTCTCCCACGGAGAGAGCCTTCACCTAGAACTGCTGCTCTCATTTCAGACTTATAGTCCTGGTGGCCTAGTGGGGGAGGTGTTGTGCTGCCAATCCAAAGGCAGGTGGTTCAAATCCACCAGCTGTTCTGTGGGAGAAAAATGAGCAATCTCTTCCTGCACAACTTATAGCCTCTGAAGACTCATTAGAGGGTCAGCTATGAGCTGGTTCTGACTTGATGGCAAGAAGAAATAGTCTTTGAAACAGTGAGAGAAGACGTTTCTGTTTTTTCAAAGCCTCCCATTTATAGTATTTCTGTTATAGCAGCACTAGGAAACTAACACAGCCTGGAAAAGCCTTTGGATAGAGCAGGGTTTGTCGGGACCTGGTTGAATGTGAAGGTTCTGCCCACACTCCTGCATGGGGAGGGAGAGCACTGGCCGCCTGCTCTGCATTCACTCCCTCCTTCAGTTACTCACTTGGCCTGAGTGTGTGCACTGGACCAGCCACCACACTAAGTGCTGGGGAGATACAGACCGAGCTGTCTTCACTCAGAGAATTCACACTCCACAGCTTTATGAAGGAGGGAAACACTGAGCAAGCTGGGAACACACAACAGAGGCCTCAACTCAGCCTGAACAAGGACTGGGAACAGCTTCTCGGGGAGCCAGTGCCGGCTGTGTTGATGGAGCAGACTGGAGCTGGTGGAGGCGGGCATAGCATGAGGCCTGGACACAGCTCCACCAGAGGTCAAGTGTAAGTGGAGTCAAGGGTGTTGAAAGAGGGGTGATGAGAGGTGAAAGCAGACAGAGCACAGAGCCCTGAGGCAACGCCAGTGGACTTGACTTGAGAGGACAGTAAGGGACCAAGGTGGTGCTCAGCAAGGGGACCAGGATCGGATGTACATATTAGAAAACCACTCTGGAAGCAGAGTGGGGAAGGCTCTCTGCAAAGCCTCAAGATAATAATAGTGAAGATTCCTGAGTGACAGAGCAGTGACCAGGAGTTGGGAGAGGAGGGGGGAGGGGAAAGGAGGAGGAAGGGGAAGCAGGAGCGGTGGGGAAGGGAGCCGAGGCTGGGCACCTTGGTGGTGGTTGGTAGGTGCCACCAAGTCAACTCTAACTCACAGAGTTCATAAGGCTACCCAGCGACCCTGCGAGTGGCAGCTATGAACCTGCCTTACCCTGTGCCATCCATGTGACACGCTCAAGGTCACTGTTCTAGTCAATGTGTCAATCCTGTCGAGAGGCTTCCTCTCTTTCTTCCTCTCTCTCCACCCTTCCTAGGATTATCACTGATTTTTGTTCAGCTTCTCAACCAGAGTGTGAAGGGGTGAGACAATGAAGTTATATGCTGCCTACTATGGAGGAAAGAAAATGAATGCTGAGCAGGGAAGCCCAACCTCAAGGGGAAATGGGCTCTCAGCAGCTCCCCGCTCCACCTTAGGGACCGAGGAAGCCATCCTTAGCGTTTACACTCCACACCTGTCACCAGTCTATACCGTCAGCCTCATACACCGTGGATGGGCTGTTAGAACCCAACAAATGCAGGGACTGACCGCTGGCCTCACATACTGGGCTGTTAGGACTCACCAAGTGCAGGGATTGAAACCTTGTACACCTTGAGGCTGGGCTGTTGGGACTCACCAAATGCAGGGATTGCAATGATGGGGCTCTTTTCAGTTTGGGGGTGCTGGTATGTGATGCCGGGCCGGGCGCAGGGTGCAGCTCCTCCACACTGTAGCTCCGGGACTTGCCCAGCTTGGGCCGGGTGCTGTGGCCCAGGGCCGAGAAGAACTTTTTCAGGCCCAGCGTAGAGGCAATGCCACTGCTCTTCTTGTTCTTTTCAGAAGGGGCAGCTGAGGTCGGGCTGGGTCCTGGACTGAGTCCCGGGCATGCTCTGAAACACAAGGGTGAACACTAGGTGGGCTGCGTGCACTTGGGGAGGGGGCAAAGGCAGACAGCACCGTCAGGGCTGCACAGAAAGAGCCACCAGGCAGCAGATAAAAGGCCAAGGGGCCTCATACTGGCTGCTCTGGGGTGGGGAGATTGTTAGGATTTTAGCTTTTAGTCACAGCTCAGACAAGACTCCTGACGTTACGTGCACTAAGGAATTTATTCACTCATTTATTCATTTGTCCATGCTTTCACTATTTACCCGAGGGCCTCCTATGTCTAGATCCCTAGGTGCTCAAGTAGTCTGCACTCAGCTATTAACATAAAGACTGTGGGTTTGAATCCACTCAGTGGTGCTGAGAAGCCAAGAAAACCACATGGAACTGTGTTACTCTAAAACCCATGGTCTATCAGGCAGCAGAAAAGACTTAATGACAGCAGAGTAAGTGATAACTAAGACCAGTTGGATCCAGGCTCTCAAGGATGTAAACAATGTACTAGCAAACCCAGGAAATAAACATCAGCTAGTGATGGGCACAGAGGGACTGGAGGTTTGCTTTAGCGTGGGTAGCCAAGGAAGGCTTCTCCAAGACGATACTGAAGGAGCCAGTCCCAATGGGGGCCTGAAGCTGAACAGGGGCTAAGGCATGACTGTGTGTGGGAGTGTGCTTGCTGGGAAGGGTACAGGGAGGGAAGTGATTTCTGTCTCGAACAGTTAAAAGTTCCACTTGGCCTCATAGAATTTAAGGCACCTAAACCTCCTCGACCAAAGAAACAAACTGGTATGTCTTGGAGAAGGTGCAGCCAGAGCGCTGCTTGGAGTCAAAGCTGATCGTTTCGACTCACATTCTTTACACATGTTGCTGAGGCTATTCCTTGGAGAGGGACTTCACGTCTGGGAGGGTGGAGGGACAGAGAAAGGGAAGAAGGCCCTCAATCAGGCGGACTGATACGGTGAATGCAGCAAAGAGCTCGAGTCAGAGACTGTGAGGATGGCTCAGGATAGGACAAGGTACAGATTGGAAAGGTGGAAGGTTTTACAGATTGGAAAAGTGAAAGAGAGAAAGACCCCTGCTGAGGTAGACTGACACGGTAACTACAGCAATGGGCGCAAGTGTTCGGGAGATGACGGGGTTCAGGTCGAGTTGTATTTGACTTGGCGCCCCGAACAACAACAAACGCAGCAGGGGTGGTAGGAGTGGTGCAGGGCTGGACGCTGTTGCGTTCTGTTGCACTAAGGTCACTAGGAGTTTGAGCCAGCTCACTGACACCTAACAACATCACATTGAGGAGACATGGAGGGTAAAGCACTTAGCTCCTGACAAGCCACTGAAGCCCACTCAGGGGCCACACAGGATAAAGACCTGGTGTGAGCATTCCAGACTAATCTACCCTATAGGAACAGTTCTATCACATGGTTGAAAGCCATGAGGAAACACGGACTAGACTGGACCCCACAATAAAAAGCAGGCACCCTAGTGGAGATGTTTAGGAAGCTGGGGCTCTGGAAGGTCGGGATCTTTGTGGACATGAAGCCAATGGCCCCGTGTAGTCACCGAGTCTCCACAGTGAGTAAGTGGAGAAGGGAAGGTCCAGACAGAGCACGAGGCTCGCGAAGGTGTTGAAGCCAAGTTGAAAGGGGCCTAGGACACGGACTCAGACCCTCAAAGCTGAATGAGACAATGGAAATGTGAATGCTGGGCTCTTTGCTCACCACGGACAGTCCAGAGGCAGCTGGGAGCCGTGTCAGAAGGCAACCCCACCTTGGGGTCCCCAGGACCAGGACTGCCTGATGCCCTGTGTCCCGGTGACCAGCAATGCCAGAGCCGGAGGCTGTCCAGTGAATGTGCAGTGACCGCACAATCCAGTGTAAGAGACAGAAAATGAATGGGAAAGCAGTATTGGGTGCCTGGCTTGGACATAAGCTTCTGGGGATTCGGGGCGAGGTGAGGCCAGTCACAGGACTACTCCAGGGAACTTTTTTCACTCTTTTCCTCACCCAATGTCCCTCTTTCCAGCTCCATGGCCAAAACTCACCCCAAAGGCATGCGCCCTCCAGATCTCAGCTCTGTCCTCCTGGCACTTCCTTCTGGAGCCCGGCTGGGATGTGGCTTCTCCGGTGCGAGGGGAAGGGTGGTACCCGAGGGGCTGATGGCGCCAACGACTGCTGGACCAGGAAAGTCCTGGCGTCCTCCTGCAACAGGCAGTGCATCACTCCTGTGCCGACCTGACCCATGCTCATAGGCACTGTGCTCCCAACAACTGAGGCAGGACAGCGAGAGGAAGAGGGAGGGACGCCAGAGTACAACACATAAGGCAGAAACTTTGGGAGCAGAAACTAGGTCTTTTCTATTCTATAACCCCATCAGCTAGCACAGTCCCTAGTACATAACAGACAATTAAATGTTTGTGAAGTGAATGTCATGTCCCTTCTCTACCAGGGGACATGCTGTTGTCGGGCACCACTCAGTAGGTTTCAATTCACATGACAACCCCCCCATATCACAGAAGAAAACTGTCCCATGCATCTGAGAGTGGGACAGTGAACAAAGGACAGAAGAGGAACTGTGCCTTTGAGCTGTAATGTTGGAAAAGAACACTGAACATCCCAAGGACAGCCAAGAGAACGAACAGATATGTCCTAGAGAAAGGGCAGCCAGAGTGCTCCTTGGAGGCAAAGATGTCAAAACCTCATCTCACACACTTTGGGCATGTCGCTGGGAGAGGCTATTCTTTGCCTGGACAGGTGGAAGGTCAACAAAAGAGACAAAGGCCCTTGACGAGATAGACTGACACAGTGATGGCAGCAACAGGTTTGACTCTATCAGAGCCGGTGAGGACGGCACAGGATAAGACAGGGTTCAGATCTGTCAGATCTGGTCAGGGTCGCTGTGAGTTGAACGGAACTTCATGGAACATAACAAGAGCAACAATCTTTATGAAGAAGATAATTTTGTCTTTCTCTCAAGGAATCGAAGGGTCAATTCAAGCTCCAACTTTTCAGTTAGCTTAACCAGCAGGCTTCAATGGCTCTCTGGTTAAGGGCAAAAAGTTTAATCTCTAGAAATAAAGATGCAATCTTGTTGGTTAGAATTTCTTACTGCTTTTATAATAGCCTCTACTTTGTAGCGTCAAGTGTGTGCTTGTAATGCAGAGACTATCCCATTTACTCACCAGCTGCCCTGATGGAGGAAGACAGGCAGACTCCTCCCATAAAGACGTACAGGTTCTGAAACCTGGTGGAGGGCTGCTGAGAGTTGGAACCAACCCACTGGCAGCAGGTGGACTCAGGATCTCACAGCTCAAGAGAGGAGGTGCCTCACTCTAAGCCAGGGGAGAACACAGCGCTCCTCCTCCTGAGTCAGACCTACTGCGCAGACTCCAGGTCTGGAAGAGAAGTTCTGTTCTGCCCAGAAAAGTCATGGGAATCTCTGAGGAGAAGCACTGCAGGAAGGGGTTAGGGGCAAGTCAGCAGTCAGCTGAAAAAGGGAGAGGACCCCCTTAGGTAAAGTGTTTCTTCATGGTGTGTGGAAACAAGAGAGGCAGAGAGAAAGGGCAAAAGGGTCTCTGTGTGGGGTGCAGGGGGTCATCACGGCCACCATCTCTCGGCTCCACGGAGTCCTCAACGTCTCCTGAGCCATTTAGCCCCAGGCCTGCCAGAGCTGCAGACACATTGAGATGAATATGCAGGGCAGCCCTTACATTTGGTCACCTTGGTCTAAAAGTGAGGGGCCAAGTTGGTTACCCGCAAGCACAGCACCAGGGACCCTGAGGCCACTGATGCTCAGGACAGGCCATAATCTGAGGACTCTTCCCAAGGGTAAAGAAGTGCTATCCTATGCCCTAAAGCAGCCTTGCCCGAGACCTGCCCACCAGTGAGGCCTAGCTGGGAAGGACGCAGGATCCAGACAGGCAGCCCAGCACACTTTGTAGGAGCTCTGTCCATCAGGCACTTGTCCTTTGGCTGGAATATTTGCCTGGTCTCCAAAGGTCGTTAGCACAGGACTGTTGCTGATTTAATCCATGATGCATTCTACCACAGCGCCTGCCAAGTACAGGTGCTTGATCAATGTCAAATGCATGAATGGAACCAAGATGTTGGAGAAAGGGCCTGGTCATGTGATTATTGGCAAATAACAAATCTTAAAGCTGCTGCTTTGTTCAGCTCTGCTCACAGTAAAAGTGTCTGAAAGCCCAGGCCTCACAGAGACACAGAGCTCAGAACTTTGTGCGCATCTCAGAGCGCCCAGCACTAACCATGCAGCACCACACCTTCCCCTGAGGCTCTGCATCTCCAAAGGGGAGCTGGTTAAACCCGCTTCCAGGTGAATTTGCATCTAACCCAGTCACCACCAGCTTCCCTCAACGCCTCTGGGGGCTCTGAGAAGCTCCACGAGGATGTCAAAGTGGTGTGTGGCTGATGGTATTTGACATATAAAAGGAAAGGAAGCAACCAGCATCACTGATCATATTCTCGAGAAACTGTGGAACAGCAGGGGTTTTACTGTGTATATATTAATAAATAAAATGTAAAAGGAAAGGAAGTGAAGACTCTGAGTCCCTAGTGCACCACAGACTCACCTGGGATCCTCTGCTCTGGCTGGGCACGAATCAAGGGCAATCCTTACCTCCTCCGCTGTCCTCCAGGAGCAGCTCTGGCGTCTGGCTGCAGGAATCCCTCTCCGCCCTGCCTTCAGGGGTGGCTTCTCTCCAGGGCTCCTGCATCCCCTGAGGCAAACTGTTGTTACAGTTGTTGGTGGACAGCACCCACAGTGGAGGCCTTACTTGGGGGCTGCAAGGCTGGGTCTGTGAGGAGGTGAGCTCGCAGGTCCTAGAAACCATGTGATGTGAAGGAGGCGAAGGAGTGTCCACAGAGTCTCCCTGGCCCCGTCGCTTGTGGGGTCCAGCTAAGGCTGCCTTCCTGTGAGGCACAGAGGAGGAGAAGGCTGTTTTCTTTGAAGAGGGAGGGGTCGGCACCCAGCCTTCCAAGGAGAAGGAAGTAGTTGGTGGCAGGGCTTGGTGAGCGGCAGGGGGCTCCGAGCGGCTCTGCTGTGGGGAGGGCATAGAAGGCCTGTCCACTGGCTGGTGGTTTTCTGTAACCTGGGCTTGCCGGTTTGGCTCCGATGGCCCAGACCTCGAGGATGAGGCCGTGGTAGAGGCTGCCCTGCAAGGAGCTCGGGAATCTGCCTGCTGAGCCCGCTGATTTCCCTGTGCTGGTTCACGCTGCCACTCCAGTGAAGTCCTCCTGGGTTCCGGAGCAGCAGGCTTGGGGCCACCACCTTCCCTGGGAAGCAGAGTCCCGGCTGGAGTGCACTGTCTGCCTTCTTTCCCCTCATCTCCAACCTCCACACGGTCAACCTTAGGCAGGTGACATGAGGCTTGTGGGCTGCAGGGCAGCTCCCCATTCCTGGGCCTCCGGGTTCGGCACCACGCCCTGCTGGGCTGGGAGGTCCCAGCCTCCTCGCTGTCCGTTCTGCAGCTGTCTGAGGTGTCCGTGCTGTCCAGGGCGGAGTCCACATCCTCTGGGCACAGGATGTCACCAATGTGCGTCTCTCGGACCCATGGCTCCCCCAGGAGCGCGAGAGGGGAGCTCAGGCTCTGAGAGCTTTGAGGGGGTTCTACCAGCAGTTCTTCCCCCCTGCAGGCTGCTTCTAGCTCCTGGAGGAGCCTGAGCTCTGGGGACTCCTCCCCTTCCTTAAGGCCTTGGGGCTCGATAGAGTTGCCACAGGCTCGGCACTTCCCCTGGCCCTGCGAAGGCTGTGGAGGACCCCAGGGGTGCAGCCTGCCCGCAGCAAGCTTGCGGAGTACCCCTTCCGTGGCCATGCTCCGCCTCACACCCCCATTGATGTAGTTGGTGAGGTCGGGCTTGGAGCGTAGGGGGCCCTGGTCCACCCCCTGCAGTACAGCGCTCCCAACATGGCGCTGACGCTGCTGTAGCCGCTCCAAGTATCGGGACTCGACGTCGCGGGCGGACTCATCCTCAAAGCGGACGTGGGACGACGGAGAGGTGCCCCGCTTCGGCCACAACCCACTGCTGGACTCCCCGCTTGAGGAGTCACTCAGGTTCCCATTTTGGAGGCTGTCTCTGCAAGAAAAGCTGACCCTCGGGTCCAGACCTGGGCTCCTCCGGTCATCTCTGAGGAAGACACAGAGAGAGATGACAGGCAGTTGATGGGAGATCCTCCCTGGGTAACCATCTCCTAATGCACTGTACTCACTGCAACACACAAAAATAACCCAGTTCGAGTTCCTGGGAGCCAGGCAGCAACCAGAGTAGCTCACGAGCCCACTGTGGCCTTGAGGTGCAGCATTCAACAGAACAGCACTGCCTTCTTTGTTAGGGTGTTGCTTTGGGGGCCTCTGCTGCCTATGACACTAGATGCTCACATACCTATAAATGCAACAGGCAAAGCAGGGACCTGCAAGTGTCACTACTCCTGACTGCACCTGGAGCTCCCCTGATGAACACTGCTTGAGGAGGAATTTTCCTTAAAAAGGACTACCTTTAAGCAGGTGAGTTCTGGTGGCCTAGTGGTAAGGAGTTGCACTGCCAACCCCGAGGCATGTGGTTTAATCCACCAGCAACTCTGCAGGACAAGGACCGGCAACCCCCTCCAGTGGGATTTACAGCCTCTGAAAACCCGCCGGAGAGTCAGCTATGAGTTGGTTTCAACTCAACAGTACATAATAACCACCACACACCAAGCAAGTGAATCTGCCTGCTTTGAAAGTGAAGCCTCTTTTGTGCTTCCAGGGGCTGCACTGAGAACTGCTGGAGAGTCTGACGTCAGTCCCGCTGTTTCCTGCCATTCCCATTCAGGCAGCCCTTGGAGCTGGCAGGCACAGTGGCTACAGCGCTCGGGAGACTGCCCATCTTTCTCCAAGAAGATCCGACCACCAGAGAGGCGTCACCTTTGTGTCAGTAGCACAGACCCTCTGTGAGCAATGCCTCCAGAGCTATGATGTTATTGTGTGCTGTTGAGTAGGAACTGACTCATAGCTGACCCTCCAGTGTGTTTTCAGAGGCTGTAAATCATAGGTGAGGAGACTGCCCATCCTTCTCCTGTAGAGCAACTGGTGAATTCCAACCATGTGCCTTTGGGATTGAAGCGTAGCTTCTTACCGTTAGGCCACCAGAGCTCCCTATAGAATGGTTTTATTTATTATTTAAAATCAGAAGCAAATAAACTTTCAGATCAAAGAAAATGTTTTTTGCTTATTCATCTTTAAACCAGCACCGTCAGTGAAATATAGTCTGCAACTGTTTAATGGAAAAAAGACCATGAAGTCCAGTGGCTAAGGCAGGCCCCTGGAAGTGATGTGGCCCTGCTTGCAAGGGGGATTTGTGATTGACAGACATGAAGTACTTGGAGTACTTGGCTGGTGAAGACCATGCAGGGTCTCACCGCTAGTATCCACATGGTCAAAGGGGGCAGTGGTGCCCTGTGACACTGGTAGTAGCAGTTTTCTGTTGGTGGGTTTCTGTTGTGCAGCACTGGAGTTCCAAGCCCCGATGCCTGAGAAGCACATCCTGGGCCTCCTCCTGCACTTGTATCTGTTTTAGCCTCTCAGGGTCTGAGGAAGGTTCTGTGAGGCGGTCACTATGCTCATAGGAGCACCATGTATACGGTGTCCTTGGGTCTGCTTTGCAAGAGCACTCTTGCCCCTCCATAGCCTGGGGAAAGGAAAGTTGGGGCAGAGACACCGTATCAACTCATTCCATGGCAACGAGAGAGCTTCAGGGAGCAGAAGCTCCACCCTCACCACCCAGGCAAGACACCTTCTCTGGCCAGGCCAGCACCACACAGGAAATGGTATCTGGAGATGCAGCATATCAGCTTAGACACTAGAACTCCTATGCAAGCCCCACAGGGCGGTACACTGCTCTGCTCACAGGATGTGGGCTGCATATTCTGGAGGGTGAGAAAAAGCTCAGCATTAAGAGTAGGATATTTCTCACCCAATGAGGGGAACCAGGTGCCATTAACCACCTTGGTGACAAGAATTTTGACATACAAACTGTTGCTCTGAAACATTTCTAAAAGTTACTTGAAAGGTAGACATGTCATATTTGGTTCTAAAAGGTGAAATGAAGGAGCGCTTAATTACATAAGGTGTCTTTAACCCAATTACTCAAAACTCAAGAGGTGCCCATCAGCAGTGCTGGGAACAGGGCCTAAAGGGAGCGTGAGAGCCACGGAGACAAGATGCTGGGTGAGCAGCAAGCATGTCCCAGGTCTGCCAAGCTCGTCACGACGAAGCCACAGCAGACACCGCTCCAGTCATTCGTCTTGGAAAGGATTTTGGTCTGAACTCAGAACTGCTGTGGTCCTGGAACAGTCTGGCCTTCATGGGGAGCCTCCTTTCTGGAATCTCACTTTCATAAAGAATACAGTTCTCAACATATCATCCACAGAGGTATGTAAGTTCTCCAGGGTTTAACATACACATTATCTACCATCTAAGACAACAGCACTTTGGCATCATGCTCTCAGGTGTCACTCTTGTATCTTCTACCTGCATGCAATCCTCTGGGGACTAAAAGCACCACCTTTGTTGTGCCTGGTCCCCCAAATAGCACAACTGAGTCTGTGGTTCCAGGTGCTGCTCAACTTCGACTTTGATTTGCTTCCAGACAAACGCAGCTATTGCTAAGGCACGCTTTCATCTCCCGGAAAAGCCCCGTTTTTCCTGTTCAGGCTTGCTCCAGCCACCTCCGGCCAGACCTGGGCTAAGAAAGCCTCCTGGAGATGCTGTGCTGCCCCTCCTCTCCCATCCTCTTTCACCGAGCTGCTCTTTGGGAGAAATGAGCCATCTGGGCTGAGGGTGGGGGCTGCGGCCTCTGACTACGGCCTGGGGCCTGTGTGGCATCACCATGTTAACAGCATGGCTCTCCAGGGTGATCTGACAGAGCGCAACCTTTAGAAGCATCTGCAGCAAACCATCTGGCGTTGATTTTTCAGCTGCACCCTCTGAGGATTCACCAGCACTGCCAAGTCATAGTAATTCTTTTCTGGACACAGCAGCTGCGAAAGTAGGTCACCTTGCTTGTCTGTACATTTCTACAGCCACAAGACAGCCTGCCGAAAGGGAATCCAAAGGAGTGATGGCAGTCATTGTGAACAACTGAAACAATGTGGGAGAGAAGAAATGGTCCCAGACAAAATTTACACAATAAAGTCTCCTTTGCAATTAGTCTAGCCTTGAGGCTATGTAACCCAACCAGGGACCTGCAGGAAGCAGAACAAGGACACTGCCTGGAAGCCCAAGGTTTCTGGGTACCACATACAAATGTTAGAAGAAGAGTTAGGATGCCTCCAAGCAGCATGTCCACTCCCAGGCTGGTGCTCTCGAGCCAGAGGGCGAGGCAAGGTACAAGAGATGGAAATGAAAAGTAAAGAGGCCTCCTTGGCACTCTTGCCAGGAGCAGTCTCCTGCATTCCCCAGGATTCAGAGATTCCTGGGTCAGGATTTCCTTACCAAGACACAGTCTCCTGCATTCCTCAGGATTGAGAGATTCCTGGGTCAGGATTTAGGGTCGCCCAGGTCCCTCTCCTAAGGATCCCATAATGGACTTATCTCAGTGAGGCTCTACTGAGCATATTCAGGTTCCCCATCAAGCACATGGGGTCCGACAAGAAACTGAGCAATGATTAGAGGCAGTAATTGTTTGAGGTGACTAATGTAATGGATAATACTTAAACCATACAGCTGGAAAATGCTGGGTTACGCAATTCAGTGCTATAAAGGTACATTGCTGTTGTTAGATGCCATCAAGTCGATGATGACACATGAACAACAAGAGACCTGCACTCTGCCCTGTCCTGAGTCATCCTCACAATCGCGGATATGCTCAGGGTCATGCTGCAGTCGCTGTGTTAATCCATCGAGGGCCAACCTCTCTTTCTCTGGCACCCTGTCTTTGCGAGCATGTTGTCTTTTACCAAGTATAAGCTCCTCCTGAGAACATGCCCAGCGTGTTCTGTATGCAGGCAGGCCTTGTCTACTGCACTTAGCAGATCCTGGGTTTCTTACAAAGTGAAGGTTTGCGACAACTCTGCGTTGAGCACATCTACCGGTGAGATTTTCTTAATGGCCTGTGCTCCCCTTGTTTCTCTGCCATCACATTTTGGTAACTCTCATAATAGTCCAGACTTTTCCATAATGCTATTGTACACTTAACCGACTTACTGTACACTTACAGTGGACTGTAAGCATAATTTTTCTATGCATTTGGGAAACAAACAACAAAAGGGAAAAAGTGTGGCACACATTAAAGATTTGCTTTATTGTAGTGTTCTCGAATCAAACCCATAATATTTCCAAGGTATTCCTGCATATATTCTCACCACAATAATAATAGAAAAGATTCTTTGTGCAGGTCCACAAAGAATCCTCACTCTCTAGTGCCACACAGTGATGGAAACAGGCAAGTCCCCTACCCACTGCACTGATGCAACCACAGACCGTGCCAGGGGAGGAGATGGTCCTGCTTGGGCCTGGTGTGCTAAGGCATGCTGTGGTAGCCTTCCTCAGGCCCAGCCCCTGCCCCTTGTCCTGACTTGCTTCATTCAGACCTCAGCACACCTCACCAGAACCACCAGAACAGCCTCCTCACTGTCCACCATTTCCTTGCAGCCAGAACAGCTTTAAAACCCACTATTGTCTGCAGGGGCAAAGTTTAAGAGGACAGTAAGTAATAAATGATAGAGAGGACGTGGTGATACAGGAACTGCTGGTGGGATTGTCAAATGGTACAACCACTCTGGAAGGCAGCTTGGTGCTTCCTCAGAAAGCCAAACAGAAATTCCATACGACCCAGTTATTCCAATGCTTTGAATACACCCCAGGAAAATAAGAACTGAGGCACAAACGGAGACTTGTACACCAATGTTCATAGCAGTGTTATTCACCATTGCAAGAACATGGAAACAGCCCAAATGTCCAACCACAATCAAATGAACTGAGAAATTATGGTACATTCACACAATGGAATACTACGCAGCACGCAGGAGCAATGATTTTGTAAATCAGTACCTAACTTGGGAGGGACTGGAGAGCATTATGCTGAATGAACTAACTCAGTCCCATAAGGACAAATACGGAATAAGACCATTATTGTAGAATGTGTATAAGGATCCAAGGCGGGGGAGGTGGGGAGCAGAGAAAGGAGGATGGCAGACAGGGGAGAGTTAATCATAGGGTCACACAATTTGATAGCTGGAGGGTGGGGTGAGTAAAAGAAATGGGAAAGATCTGGTGTGAAAAACAATGTATATGAACTTTATAAGTAAACCAGTATAAAATAAAAATTTTCTTTAAATCGAAAAAACTCCACCATTGTTGAATTGATTCCAACTCAAGCTTCCGAGGCTGCTACAATCCCAAAGGCGTGTGGTTCAAGTCCACCAGCTGCTTCCCTGGGAGAAAGATGAGCAATCTCCTGTGCAATTCACTGCCTCTGAAGACCCACTGGAGTCAGCTATGGGTTGGTTTCAACTCAATGGTACAAAACAAGACAAATTTTAATAGGAAGAGACTGTCTATCTTTTTCCCAACGAGCAGTTTCCTAGGCATGCCGACCTTTTGATTATTGGCACAACAACCTATATACTATGCACCAGAATGGCTGGTTTTACTGACGTACAAGCGACCATGCTACTCACTTCCTTTAAACCCTCCAATTGCTCTCAGTCTATTAAAGGAGACATTTAAATCGCTCATCTGGCCTGAAGGCTTCACCAGTGGCCACTCTCTAGCTTTGTGGCCTTCACACATCCTCCAGCCCAGCTGAAATCTTAGCTCATTGATCTGCCCTGGCATGCTCCCCCTGCCCATGGCCACCCAGTGAATACGTGTATCCACTTCAAATTCCAACCTCAAAGTCTCCTCTCCTGGCAAACTTCACCTGCCCTCTCACACATTTCCTCTACTACAGCCTACTGTTACTCTTTTGTACTCCACTGAGTCAATCTCAACTCATAGATACCCTATAGGACAAAGAACGGCCCCGTGGGGTTCTCTAGGCTGTAATGGTTATGGAGCAGATCACCTGGTCTCCTCTCATGGGGCTTCTGGTGGGTTTGAACTGCCGACTTCTCAGCAGACATACATTTAGCTGTTGCACCTCCAGGACTCCTTCTACTACAGCAGAGTTGACAAAGTTATATCGATCTGTCTGCTCCCTTTCTTCCTAGAGACCGAGCCCTCCGTTCTGCAGGAAGTTTGGACTACGTCCCATTCATCTTTACATCCACAATGTCTAGCTTGGAACTTGCCACTCAGTAGGCCATCAGTACAAATGTGTTGACTGGCTAAATGAACTAATGCAAGGGCCTGACATGGGGGAAATGAAGGGAAGAGCCACAGAAGGGAGGTATGATAGTGATGTATTGTCTAGATCCCACATTCCTCTCCACCCCCTGACCTTGCCTGGCCACCGCCTTGTGGTCTGGCCTGGCATTGCCCCACTCACCGGTTGCCTAGGGCAATAGTGGGCACGATGTCGTGGCTGGCCCGGAGGGGCCGGGTTCTGGCTTTCATGCGGGCATGCTGCAGCAGATGCTTGGCTTCCTCATGCCGGGGGCTCAGCTCAGGCTTCGGCTTGGGACCAAAGGTTCTGCTGGGTGGCAAGCAAGACAGAGCGGGTGGGGAAGGATTAGAAGAAAATAACACGGATTAGAAGGGCTTTACCAGTGTTGAGCACTGGATCTGCCAGGAAAAGCCCTGAATGTGCAGGATTTCTCATCCAGCGCCCACACAGGCTGTCCCGGTCAGGCCCAGGACCGGGAAATGCCCCTGCAATGGCTCTGGTTAAGGCTGAGGGTGCCGCCAAGCCTTGGACATCTGCTCTGGTGCCATGGGACTGGCAACAGACACCCCGGGCGGATCTAGAAAAGGGTAGGGGAGTCTCCAGATTATTCTATTGTTTCTTCCTTGGGTAGACAGTGGGAGTTATCTGGGAGGAGGGGGAAGTGGACCTAGAGTGGCTGGGCTGGGCCTGTGCCTGGACAGATGGCCTTTACACGCATCACCTCCCTCCTGCTGTCTCTCTCCACGCCCACACACATACACACACACACACACACACACACACCCCATACACATATGCACTCCCACTGCACACACAGAATCAGGGCTCTGCCCGCCACAGGTCCAGTGCTTTGAAGGAGTGACATTTTTAGAAATCCTGGTGTTTCCTGCCTCAATCTCAACACAAATCTGCCAGGACTCACAGGCTCAGGAATGAGCAAAGTTAAGCTGGATCTGGACCAAGTCGGCAATTGGTTCGATTTTCATCATAATGAGGGTTCTGGGGCTCCCTCCCCCCACCGGATGTTCTGCCTCCCCTGGCAGGTCCAGAGCGGCTGGAAATGACAGCAGCCCTTTTCCCAAGCTGTCTCACAGGCAGTGACATATAGTCAATGCGGTCACAGCAACGAGAGCAGCCCACAGCCTCCCACTGACAAGATGCTTTTTTGCACGGTGCTCCTGCTCCCCAGCCAGGCTGCCGAGGGCAGGTACTCTCTCCATGTGACAGACAGGGGCTCTCGAGCGAGGAGGAAAGTGTTCACACACGGCCCAAGGTCGAACATCAATCCAGCGTGGGGAGCAATGGGCAGCGAGCCCGACCGCCTCTGGCCTCATTCCTGCTCGCTGGCTCCCCAGGTCCCAGCGTCAACTCCAGATGCCTGTAGCTGGGGTCAGACACACTCTTTGATGTGAATTCAGCAGACCCAATGGAGGCGGCCATTTGGGGCCACTGTCACATGTGCTGAGCTGTCCTCAACAGAGAGGCCACAGAAATAGAGACAAGGCAGACAGACAGAGCTGGACCCAGATCTCAGATCTGTGCTCCCCAGACTCAGCTTTTTCATTCCATATACATCAAGGACTAGGATGATGTAGACAAGGACAGAAAATGGCACAACTCGGGCCTCCAGAAAGATCACCTGCTTGGGGCATCCTCAGCCAAACTCTGACTTACGTGTGTGTGTGTGTGTGTGTGTGTGTGTGTGTGTGTGTGTGTACACGCATGCACATGCATGTGTGTGCTCATTATTTGCACCTAACCCTGCTTTGGGACCAGAAAGAAAGTAACAACCCAAAACCCAGAAGTGCTAGAATAAAGGCACCATCTGTGCAAATGAAGCCTGGCAGGGCCCAGGCATGGCTCTGGAACAAGGAGGCCTTGACTGCAGTTCTGTGAACCTGTGTCCCCAAACCTGCTACCCCGGGAAGCCTCCTTTGGCAGCAGAGGCATCCCTCTGCACAGCTTCCCAAGCAGGCAGCCCCTCCATCTCGCCACAGAGCAGCTGTGCTCCCCGGGGCTCCTGCTCCAACAGCAGAGATAATGAGGTTACCAGCCTGGAGAGCAGCCCCTGCAGCCGCGGGCCTCTGGCTGGCAGCCCGCTCACACTGAGCCTTCCGGTGACAGCTGTGGCTCCCCGGCTGTCGAAGGGCATTTGTCACAAGACCTGGTGGGCAGGCAGGAGGGCCCGCAGGCAGCTGGCCAGATGCTGTCAGAATTGGCCTTGCCCCCTGGTTTTTAAGACATTTTCCAACTGTGCTATTTCCTTTCTGTTCCATGCACTTGGAGGGTGTGTGTGTGTGTGTGTGTGTGTGTGTGTGTGTGTACCCCCCATCAGTTGCCCTGCTCTAGTCCCTGGCAGACAAAGCTGGTTCCTGTGCAGATTAGAAAATCAGTGCTCTTAGGTACTTGGAGGCAGCCATGCAGGAGCGTGGGGAGGAGAGCGGCAGCCACCTTCACAGATGGCAGCCAAGGTCAGCGGAGCAGGCAACTCTTATTCTTCAGGCCCCCTGGAGAGGAGCTTTTACCCAGGGGCGGGTTGGAAGCTGGTACAGCACTGTGGGATGCTGGGCCTGTCCTACCTCCTTCCACTCCACGGAGACCCTCCTAGGGCACCCCTCCACTCCAGGCAGACAGGCTCACACTCTTCTACCCAATGGAGATTTTCCAAACGAATCTGACACTTCTCTCTATCAAGGGCACATAACTCTGGAGCCAACCCTTCCTACTTTGGACTATAACCTACAAGCCCAGCTCTGGCACCTCCCCAGGAGAAGAGTCGGGGCAGTCACTGGTGACCAGTCCATGGCAAAAGCAATTTTCTACTTGAGGATAGCCAGCATTTAGCAAGCTCTTGAAAGTCTGCAGACCTTTCCTTGTTCCATAGCTCAATAGAGGTAGAGCAAAAGATAAAAAGGTGGCCTGATCTTCCTTTGTGGGTCTGTAAATGGTGAGAGTTGGATAGGGGAAAGGCTTCATATTGCAACAGTCTGGGTCTTTGGCTGTGCAGTCTGGTGTGCCAGAGTGAAGCTGGGTCCTGGGGTCCATTCACTTAGGGCTCTAACCACAACAGCTATTAAACCTCCCAGCAGCAGCAAAGCCTGTGCTGCTGAGTCAGAGTCGACTCGGCTGATCCACTCCAGTGGGTTTTCAGAGGCTGTAAATCACTCAGGAGATTGCCCATCTTTATTCCACAGAGCTGCTGATAGATCTGAAGTACCTGCCTTTAGGTTGGTAATGCAACTCCTTCATTCTGAGTGGAAAACAGAGTAGAATGGGAGGCCCCTGGTCCTTCTCTCAGGCCACCAGCCATGAGGATCAGAAGCTGCTTTACAAAGACAAAGGGCAATGTGTGGTCCCACCTCTCCATCAGAATCAATTTCCTGGTGGGAGAATGAGGGTTAAGCTCTGGCTAACTCCCACCATCGGGCAGATCGGGACCTCACCCAGAAGAATCACTGGCTCTCTCAGCCAGCGAGGTCAAGAGGACAGAGTGGCCTCTGTCTGCAGCCATCATAATCCTGGATTAGAATAACAGTGGCAGCAAGCCTGGGTTTAACCCTTTTATCTCAGGTGCAGGAGTCAGGGGAAGTATTTGGGAGGGTAAGGTGATGTAACATTTCCCCGATTCCTGGGTGCAACAGGCAGGGGGGCAAACAAAGCTGATACTAAAAAAGAACCTTGGTGCCACAACTGTTAAGTGCTCAGCTGCTAACCAAAAGGTTGGCACTCTGAACCCACCCAGTGACTCTGAGAGGAAGACCTGGTGATCTGTCCTTTTAGAGATGAGAGCCTAGAAACTATACAGGGAGGGTTCTACTCTATCACCTGGGTTAAGGTATGAGTTGAAATGGACTAGATGGCACCCAACAACCAATTCACAACCCCTTTACCTTAGCATTGTTCCATTTCTATGTAAGTATTTTTATGACCAAGGATAGAGTTTCTTTAACACTGTGTGCCATTTCTCTAATGAGAACATTAGGAAAAGGGATGTCAGAATTGATCAAAGATCATGAGCTCTGTGAGCGTTGTTGTTCTTTTTGTTGTTGTTATGTGCCATCAACTCTCCTGTGACTCACAGCAATACTAAGCACAATAGCTCTGAACCCTGCCCTATTCTGAACCAGTCTCACTGTCTGTGACACGTCGACCCCCCCCCTTATCCCAGGTGCTGTGTCAATCCATCTCTTTTGGGGTCTTCTTCTCCTGAGCTATCCCTCCACCCTTCCATGCATGATGTCCTTCTCCAAGGACCAATCCCTTAGACTTGATGTCATGCTTTGTTACCAAGAAGCCTTAAATGAAGGAGCCCAGGATTCTAACAAGACAAAGGCAAAGAGGTGGTTACCTACCCAGAGGATTACCTACCCAGGTTCTAACCTGAGCTTCCACTTACTAGACAGATTACTTAGGGGTTAACGGTCAGTTTATTTACCTGTTAAATAAAGGCTCCAGTTATATCCTTAAAGAGTTCAACTTGGAGATGACCATTCAGTAAGATTCGAGAAATGTCATTAAGTTATTATTAGGGAGCTCTGGGGGCCTGGTGGTAAAAAGCTGCACCACAACTCCAAAGGCATGCAGTTCAAATCCACCAGCTGCTCTACAGGAGAAGGATGGGCAATCTCCTCCTGTGTGATTAACTGCCTCTGAAAACCCTCTTGGGGGTCAGCTGTGGGTCAGTGTCAGCTCGATGGTACAACAACAAGAAGTTTTTATTCTTCTTAATATATCATAATACAGTTTGATAGTATCTTTATCATCACCATCATCATCAGTTTTTGTTAACCTTCTTACAAAAGGAAGGAGGAATCCTTGACCCTTACCTAAAATTGCTGGCCAAGATCCTCACCCTGTGGTCTACACTCACTAACTGCCGCTGGGCTGGAAACGACTCCCAGCTGACCCTCCCGGGTTTCTGAGGTTATAAATGGCCTGGGAGGGGACCACTCATCTTTCTCCCTTGAAGCTGCTCCCTTTGGGTTACCAGGGTAACTCTACAGACTGTGCCACCGGAACTCCCTGTGGTGTACAGGGGAACCCAAACCAAATGCCATCAAACTGATTCGGGCTCATGGCAACCTGGGTCAGAGCAGAACTGTGCTCCACAGGGGTTTGGCTAACAGCACAAGCCGCTGTGGACCACGTCACCTCAGTGCCTTGTTACCGGAGAGCCCCTCCAGGGAGTTCTCAAAGCCTGCAGACTGTGCGGGAGGAAGCTGCCCATCTTTCCCCCTCAGAGCTGCTGGTGGATTTGAACCACCACAGAGCCACCACCTTCGGGTTGGCAATTCCATAAATAGTTT